AAGTCAACCCCTGGAAGGCTGGCCACATTACAATCCCTTCTCATTCTCCTTTTGGGATTTTGGGCATGCATGCACACGCTCCTGGCATGAGTTGGTGGCTCCAAGGCTTGAACCACAGTCGATTACATGGGAGTTCAGCGCCATTACTCCATCTGCTGGTCTCACTTTTTTTTTTTTTTTTAACCATTCTAATGTTAAAGGTTTTCACTTTATTTAATACCTGATCATGTCAGCCTTCCTGATTGCTCTGTTTCCAAAACTTTATTGTGTGGATTTCTAGCTGATCCTTAGAGTTATATTGTCCCATGTAAAAATAATGCCAGGGCCTGGCAGGTGGCGTGGTTAAGGCACTGAATTCCCACGTGGTTGACCACGGTTCGAGACCTGGACCTGGTAACTTGCTTTCTCACTTCCTCTCTCTCCCTCTGGTGAGTACATGTGCTGTATAGCAAATTAGAAAAGAAAAATAAATAAAATTTAAAATCTAAAAAAAGAATAATTTCATTGAGATTTTGATTCAAAATACATTTAATTAAATAATAGTTACTATGCTAACAAGGGTTGCATGCTGTCTTGTAATGAACTGTGTTTGGTTTTTAAATTTGTTCAATTTATCAGTCTCACCCTGGGGTTAAATGGATCTCAGGATTTTTATGAATACATTTTTTTAAAGAATTATTTTATTTAACTTTATTTATTTGTTTATTTCACTTGGACCACAGAGAGACAGAGAGAGAGAGTAAGCAAGCCTCCAGGTCCAGGACTTGAACCATGGTCGGCCATGTGGGAATCCAGCACCTTTAGCCACTATGCCACCTGCCAGCCCCCTTGTGAATACTTTGTTACCACCACAATCCCAACCCCTTTTCATCTATTGATTAAAATTTCAGTTTGATTAAAAGGTCCTGAATTCACCCATTGGGAGGCTGTTTAAAGGTTTGTAACAGAATGATGTGGGACCTTGGAAGATCATCTAAATGTTTTCTAAACTCCAAAATGTAAAATACCTGGAGAAAGACTAAGTAAATGAGTGATGTGCATGAGGATGTTTCATAAACTAAAGTGAGATGGAGTAATACTTATAGCATTAAAGAGTACTTTTAACCTCAGAAAATATTCTGGGGCCAGCTTTGTGGCCCAGCAAACTGCTCAAGAGAAACCGGATTTCCATGGCACCTTGGTTCAGATTCCTAGCCCAAGTCAGCCTGAAGTACACCAGACACGTGCTGGAGTTCACAGGAGCCAATGGGCTAGAGGACTCGAAGATGACAGTGTGAGCAGCTCCTGCAGAAGGTGCTCATGTCTCTCTCTCTTTCTCAGGGCCACAGGAGCGTGCCTGCACTTTATTATGAATAAAGAAAAAAAAAGATTAAAAGAAATCCACATATTTTTTTAAAAACATTCTAGAGTTTTTGTTTAGTCTTCCATATTTATTTTTTGAAAAATTGAAAAAGCATTGACATTTCTAGCCTCACTCGTGCTAAGTGAGAGTATCAGAAACATGAACAAGAAGGTCAGAAGCCAGCCTTGATCGATCATGTTCGTTATCCAAGGAGAAAAGAGAGCAAAAGTTGACTGCATTGTTCTTACTGGCTGTTGTTTGGTGCGGTGTTTTATTTTGAGGAATTTTCTGAACGGGAAATTAAATTTTCTCACCTGTGTTCACAATGCCAATTTTTAAAAAAAGTTTTCATTTGCAGTAGTTCTTGAAAAATTTATTTTACATGGGACCAGCAGGTGGCATAATGGTAAAGTCACTGGACTCCCACATGGCCTACTGCAGTTCAAGTCCCGGACCCAGTGGCTTGAAAATCATACTGGGCACATATGCATATGTGTCCAGAACCCCAGTAGGAGAATGAAGAAGGGGTTGCAATGTAGCCATCCCCCCCTAGGGGGTAATTTCTCACTTTCCCTCTCACTGTCTCTGTCTGTCTCTCTCAGCGAGCATATGTGCCCTCTAACAAAAACCTTAAAAATAAAATAAAAAATTAAAAGGTGCACAGAGCATTTCTTTTTAAATTTATTTTACATGATAAACGCATTTATTTCTTCAATTTCTTGAAGTGAAGCAGTCTATTTTCAAGGAAGGGGAAAGCCTCCCTTCTCTATTCTTTGACACTCTTTTTTTCTTCCTGTACAGCTGAAAATAGGATCACTCGTTCATGGAATTTATTTCTGTTTAAGTTGTGTTTCAAATTTAAGCTTCATCCTCCAAAAGAAATAACTCAGTGAAAGGGATTAAAGTAATTGATATAATAATATTTTTGTTTTCAGTTATTTTGACACAACTTCAATATATTTGAGTACTGAGTTTTTCTGATAATGTAATATATTTTGTTATAATCTTCTCTTATATTTATAAACTTTTTTTCTTTCTGCCAATCTGTGTTTGTGGTCTCACAGACTTTATAAAGTTTAAATGATTTTGAATTTTGTCCCTTAAGATAATAGCAGTGATATAAAATTGAGGTGAGCCTAATTCTGCTTGTAACACAATAATGTTGTTACTACTTTGGCATCTTTAAATAATTGGAATTAAAATGACCCAAAATCTGGGACCAGCAGGTGGTATAGTGGTGAAGGCACTGGACCAGGTGGTTGACTACAGTTCACATCCTGGACCTGGTGGCTTGAAACTCACTCCAGGCGCATGTATGTGTGTGCCCAAAATCCCAAAAGGAGAATGAAGGAGAAGGAATTGTGGTGTGGCCATCCTCTTGGGGGTGGGGGGTGGTATTTCTCGCTTTATGTCTCTGGTGAGCACATGCACTCTATAGCAAAAATCCCTAATTAAAATAAAGATGCCAAGTCCTCATAAATAAAATTCTTTGATATGGAAATCTTAAAATATATAGTATCTTAGTAACAACAAAAACAGCAGAATCACTATATATAGCAGCCTAGAAGACTTAGAGCATTTTGTTTCTATAGTTCTTTATAAACTGCCCTGAGTACAGCTGATCACTGACTCGTTGCTCTCTTACCTGTAGCCTTGCTAAAATATTTGCAGATCTGATGTATTGTGATGAAAATTATCTTTGACTTTTCTTGAACATTTTCTATGTCCCCATGAGCTCTTCAGTTCTTCATTCGAGTAGGCATATATAAGCTTTAAACTGTTGTTCCTTAAACACCATTTTAATCTTCAGGAGACTTGACAGCAGTTATTCAAATAAAATTTCTCTTTAGTTGCTTAAGCTGACGCAACAAGGTTAAGGTTATTTCAGCTTGTCCTTAAGCTCACAGAAAGCCCGCGATGAGTGACAGTCTTGATTTCAACAGCTAATCCCTGCCCTGAGTGGTGAGCGGAGCCTGCCTCACAGGGGCTGCAGCGCGCATGTTACTACTGGTTGTGGCTTTACCGGTCCAGGACACTCACTAATCCCATTTCCGGTAGAGGATGTAAGACAGATACCAGCCCAGCTTGCACAGCGTCTTCATTCTTCACTGTGCTTGCTGATCATGATCCGATTATCTTCCGATGCAAGCATAACAACAGTAATCATATTTTATCTCTATTCTTACTGTTTTCAGCCAATTATCTAGCTATATCTGTCGATTAGTGCTGGTAAATGTTCTTACACTAACAGAGCATCATAAATTTTTCTCATTAGCTGTAGATTTAATTGTTCTTTTTTCTCTGCAGCTGGGTAATCACTGTTTTTATTCCCTTGGAGCTGCACTTCTATGACTGCTCTTCCATTTCCTTTTCCCATAAAATCAATTCTGTCGTGTGAGCTCCAGGCCTTGTGAGATCTGGTATGAATTCTCTCAACCCTTCCTTTCCTGTGTGAAACCTCAGCATAGCTTCCTGCCCAATACTACTCTGTCTCTGGGGCTTTGAGTCGTCCTTCACAGCATCATCAGCTGATCTCTGCTCTCTCTAATCCATGTACCCAACTTGTAGGCCCTGTTTCTGGTACCTCTCATCAAATATCCTTTTGAAATTAAATTGTTAAGCACTAAAAAATAAATAAATAAATGAATAAAATTTTTTGCATTGTTATAAGTGAAATACTTGTGGAATTGAGGATAAATAAATAAATAAATAAATAAAATTTGTTGCACGGTTATAAGTGGAATACTTGTGGAATTGAGACTGTGATTTAATATTTTAAATACAACAAATTGTAGATTCTGTAGTGTTCAGATTCAAAATTAAGCTTAAGATCCATGCAGAGATCCCTTTCAGGAGAAACCTTGTGAGTTCCAAGCTGGAACTTCATAATCGAGAGCCACCCGAATACACCAAAAATCCAGAGCCAGCTTCTAGAACCTGGTATTTTGCTGGATTTCGATACTAAAGTACTTTTTCACATTTAAAGTTAGGATAGAAATTACAATCAGTTGTATATCATCGTTTGGGGTTAGGTAGTGGCAGAGTGGTCATGAAGCTAGACCTACTCAGGAAGAAGACCCAGAATTTGAAGGCCCTGGAACCTCTCTGAGCATGCCCAGCATATATGCAAGTGCCAGTGAGACTGGCGGTGAATCATGGTATGAGGACCTGTTATGAGTGTCTGTTTCTCTGCCTCTCTTTCATTGAAGAAATAAATGGACTTAAAAAAAAAAAAAACTGTGTTATTTAATTAGTAGCATGCTTTCTTTCTTAAGGGAACATAAAATAATGTTACTGGAAATGAATGGTGTCTTAGACTTGATAAACTACGTAATGATAATATTGAGTTATCAGAAAAGTCATGACACATTTCTGTATAAAAATACATCATAACTTTTCAGACAACTCACTAGCAATAGCTAACATTTGTTGAGTACCTACCATATGCAAGAATTTTTCTAAGTACTTTGTGTATATTATTAAATCCTAAATAGTGATGTTCAGTTGAAAAAACTGAGCCATAGAATGAAGTTCAGCTTCTAAGTGATGGAGTCGAGATTTGAAGTCAAGCAACGGAATAGCTCCAGAGCTGCTTTCTGAGCCCTTCTCCTCCCACTGCACTGCCTCTTCATAATTGTGGTTTTCTTCCTTCTTTAAGGCATCGTTGGCTTCACTCTATGACCGATGATCCTCCAACCACAAAGCCACCTACTGCTCGTAAATTCATCTGGGCGAACCATAAATTCAACGTGAGTGGCTCTCCAGAACAATATGTACCTTATTCCACCACTAGGAAGAAGATTCAGGAGTGGGTCCCACCTTCAACACCTTACAAGTAAAGACCATGGAAAAGAGTTTAAACATGTAAAATATGGGGCTTTTCTTGGAATTGCACTTTATTGCTTACTATTAACTTGATTAAAATTGTTTAATTAACAATGTGGTTTGTGCCTTTTTGCCCTTAACTTGGTCATACCTACAAAGTTACGAACACGGGTAATTGAAGTAGGCTTCAATCGAGGTGGCTGCCTGGTTTACAGTTCCTCATTTTCTAGAAACAGATCCAGTGGTCGTGTTTGTGCCCTGTGACCCTCCATCACTGCCATAGCTAATAGGTAGGGAAGACCTAAACACAGTCAGAGCCAAATAGACTTCCTCATGAAATTTGAAACTTGAATGGAGACACACAAATGCTGGGTGGTTTTTATTGTAGTTCTCTAAGGAGAAGGTTATCAGCAAGCTCTTATTTCCTGAGTTTTGGTTCTTTTCTTGGAAAGGTTTTCGCGATAGGGCGCATGCACTCGCCAGACAGACAGAGAGAGACATAGAGACAGAAAGTGAGAAATCACCCCCCCGGGGGGATGGCCACACCGCAATCCCTTCTACTCCATTCTCCTCTCGGGATCTTGGGCACGCATGCACACACGCCCGGCGTGAGTTCCAAGCCACCGGGTCCGGGACGCAAACCGCGGTCGACTACATGGGAGTCCAGCGACATAGCCATTACCCTAACTGCTGGTTCCCGAGTTTTGGTTCTTTAACAGTTTATTTTCATCTGAACTATCCCAGGCTCCATTCTAATATACGATCTTTTTTTTTTCCCCAGAGAGAGATTTTTGCTATGGGGTATGGTGCCCTCACTAGAGAGACAGAGACAGACGTAAAGTGAGAAATCACTCCCTGGGGGGGGAAATGACCATGCCCCCATCCCTCTTCCTCCATTCTCCTCTCAGGATTTGGGCACACCTACACACATGCCCAGAGTGAGTTTCTTTTCTCTTTCATTTTTTTTTTTAAAGAATAATTTAACTTTATTTATTATTTATTTAGTTAGTTGACTAGAAGGGGACTGAGAGAGAAAGAGAGTGAGAAAGTAAGCTTTCAGGTCTGGAACTCGAATCATGGTCAACCATGTGAGAGTCCAGTGCCCTTAACCACCACACCACCTGCCGCCCCACCCCCACCCCGCCCAGTGTGCATTTTAAGCTGCTGGGTCCAGGACTCAGATTATGGTAGACTATGTGGGAGTCCAGCAATGGTTAACCATTATGTCAGCTAATGGTCCCCTAGTATACTATCTTCGAAGAGTTTGTGGAAAATATGTGTTATGAAAAAACTGCATGAATTTCAGAAATTTTTGCACCAAAATTAACTCATAATTAATTCACAAACCTTTTGAGTCCCCTTGTAGGACCTAACTAATCTCAGGTTTCTTAGTGGAAATTAAGGGGTAGCCTGGGGCCCTCTGTTGCTCTCAGGGTATCTGGAAGGAACTAGAACATTGGTCCTCATCCTCAACCTTGGCTACTTATTAGAGTCATCTGGGGTGCTTTTATTTTTATTTATTTACTTATGAAAGATTTTTGCTATAGGACGTGTGCTTGCCAGAGAATCAGAGAGAGACAGAAATCTATCCCTGAGTGGGCGGTGGCCACACCACAGTCCCTTCTCCATTCTTCTCTTGGGAGTTGAGGTACAAACACACACACACACACACACACACACACGTGCCCAGTGTGAGTTTTAAGCTGCTGGACCTAGGATTCAAACCATAGTTGGTTATGTGTGAGTCCAGCAACATAACCATTACACCATTTGCTCATCCCCGTCTGGGGTGTTTTTAAAATCCAGAGGACCAGGCAACTAAACAGTATGTCTAAGGGTGGGATCCAGGCATCAGTTATTTTCAAAACCTTCCTCCCCTCACTGCACCCTCCCATTCAGTGGTTTTATTTGCAGCCAATGTTCTCAACTATTTAAAGAAATTTCTTCTTGGACCAACAGTTGGTGTAGTGGCTATGTCACTGGACTCCCATGTAGTCGACTGCGGTTCGAGTACTGGACCCACTGGCTTAAGCTCACGCCGGGCAGATGTGTGTGCATGCCCAAGATCCCAAGAGGAGAATAGAGGAGAAGGGATTGTGGCGTGGCCATCCCCCCTGGGGGTTGATTTCTCGCTTTCTGTCTCTTTGTCTCTCTCTGTCTTTCTGGTGAGCACACATGCCCTATGGCAAAAACCTCTCAAAAAAAAAAAAAAGAAAAAGAAAAAGAAATTTCTTCTGAAACTCTTCATTGATCAAAAGAAACAGCAGTGGACCAGCAGGTGGCATGGTGGTTGAGGTGCTGGATTCACACCTGAGCAGGTGGCATGGTGGTTGAGGTGCTGGATTCGCACCTGGCTGACCATGGTTCAAGTCCAGGACCTGGTGGCTTGCTTTCTCACTTTCCCTTTCTCTCTCTCTCTGGTCAAATTAAAAATAATAAAAATTATAATAAATGGAAATAAATATTTTTAAAAGAAAAAAGGAACAGCAGTTTGCTCACAGCGTTACCCCCTGAGTATCCCTTACTTAGCTGGATCAGGAATTAGCATATTGAATATACTGTTGTGGGATGTTGTCTGCAGTTTACTGATTAGCTGAGGTAGTACAGGACCAAACCCGAAAAGCTGGCCTGGCTGGATTGAAATGTCCTGTGCTCTGTTCATGTACCACTTCACTCACTCATCTGTCAGGGCCAAAAGCCTTGCTTCCTAATGTTAGGAATAGGAATAGTTTGGCGAGGGAAGCTTTTAATTGCAGTACAAGTTCTGTCCTGGCTGCTGTCCTTTCTGGAGCAGAAATGCAGGAGGTTCCCCTGTTAGGAGCAAAGTGCATGTCATCCTAATGGGCAGGAAAGTAGAAAGGTGGTAATTAGGAAGTGATCTGAACTGTGGCAGTTCTCTGGCTATGGGTGAGCAACATAGGGCCCTTAGAATGAAAGCAAACACAGCTACCTTAGGTCTCAGTCTAATTTTTCTTTTTTAAAAGTCAGTTTTACGTGTCTAAGTAGGTTCTTGAATCCAGGTAGGTGATAGATAGCCTCTCTTAATTCCTCGATCTGAGTTAATTCTCAAAATCACAACACTTGACTTCAGGATGGTGCTATAATATTAGATATACTTTGACCCTCTACCTAGCTGCTTTCTTGGGTGATATGTAGTTTAAAAAGAAATAAGCAGGGCCAGCAGGCGGCATAGCCGTTAAGATCCCACATGGCTAGAGTGCAGTTAGAGCCCTGGACCTGGTGGCTTGAAATGTGTTTGTGTCCAAAATCCCAAGAGGAGACCGGAGGAGAAGGGATTGTGGTGTGGCCATCCCCCCGGGAGGGTGATTTCTTCTCTGTATTGAGCACATGCATCCTGTCGCCAAAAGAAAATAACCTGAGTTTCCAGGAGTCAGTGCATACTTGTTCCAAGTTAGCAGTAATTTGGGGGAATTGGGACTACTGTGACCTACTAGTCAAAATAGAGGCTGATGAGAGAGACACCCCATAAATGAAATTTGGGCCCTATTTCACTGTGAACCACCTAGGACATGGAGCCATTTCCCTCCCACCCCCTTCTCATGATTTATTTCCTTAGTTCTTAGGAACTAGGTAAGATCGACATCCTTTGCAGAATTGGATGGAACATTGGCTCCCCACCCTGAGAAGTGTCCCTGTGACAGGAGCCAAGGAGTAGCCAATGAAACATTCCCTTCCTAGCTAAATAATAAGAAAAAGCAGTTTATCTATGGGGTGATGGCAGAGGTTAGTGAAACTCAAAGGGTAGAAGGATGCAGGGTGGTCCTGTTGTATCCCCAAATGTGCCCTGTCTTTCCAGTTGACTAGTGGGGAAGATTTTTGAATCTTGGAGAATGACTGCGACAGTAGAGAATGACAGCAGACTCTGTAATAAAACTTAATCCTGGGGCTATCCACCTTGTCACTGCTGTTCTGAAATGGTCTCTTTCTTGGAGCAAATTACAACTCTGGCATTTGATCTATAACTCTCAGTCTAACTACTGCATTTTTATTTGTTTTGGTTTGTAGAGTACCAGCAGTTGTTTGCTTTTACCTGCCAGGGACAGAACTATTAAAGCTTTACAAATCTGTCCCAAGGATGTCAACTTGCGCCATTTGCTACACAGGGACATTTAATGCCTCAACAAACCATAGGCTGTCACATTAGTCCTCCATGTTAATGCAGAGCAGAAAATACTCAGGATGCCCTGGTCAGAAATAGTATCCCAAAGAATAGGATCTGAATCTCACAGAAATAGAGGGCATTGACTCCTTAGTAAAATCCTCAGGGGTCCAGTGATGTAGGACATGTCGAGGTAGCCCCATGGTATAGAGGACAAATGGCCATTTGTCCTCTCTATAACCAAGAAAAGCACAGTACCTTGTGGTGCCCTGGAGTTTTGAAATAGCATGTGAGGGAACTTCAAAAAATGTGGAAGAATGGAATTAACGTACAAGTTTATTTTGGTGCAAAAATGTTTTGAAATTTATGCATAACTTTTATAATACACATTTTCCACAGACTTTGAAAACCCCTTATAGAGCCTACAGGTGTTTTGTACTAATTTATCTACCAGGTGACCTGCAAAGGCTGGCAGTGCAGAATCAGTCCCTCTAGATAGCCCAGGCTGCAGTCCAACCAGCTTAGCTGCTCAGCCCTTCTCACAGTGTCGCTTGACTGAGTCAGGGACAAGTCTCTCCAGGAGAATCACAGTGGAAGCTCACAGGATTTTCAGGAAGATTACTATTCTCTTGAGATATGACTTTAAAATTTGCCACTGGTGGGACTGGCAGATGGCGTAGTGGTTAAGGGTGTTAAACTCCCATGTGGCCAACCACGGTTCGAGTCCTGGACCCGGTGGCTTGCTTTCTCATTCTCTCTCTCTCTCTCTCTCTCTCTTGTTCTGTCCCTCTCTGGACAAATAAAAAAATAACTCTTTAATTTTCTTTTTTTTTTGCCACTGGTGATGTTGGATACTATGGGATGCCAGGTACTGTTGAATTGACTTACCTGTAAAGTCAAACATTCATGGTAGAACTCTCTTTATCTTTTTTCTAAGAGAGATTTTTGCTGTAAGGCGTGTGCA